GTGACAGCAACAGTGACAGCGATTCTTGTAGTAGCAGTAGTACATCTGAATAGTTTTTTTAATAGGTCAACACGGCTAAAGCAATAATAGAAAGAGGTGGGATCGTTCTTAGCATTTGAGGTGTCAGCGTCTGGCAAGAGAGAACAATTGGCAAAGTAGCAAAGGCAGCTGTTAGATGACCTAATATGTGTCGTTAATATAACAGTTAAAACATGTTAATCTCGACCTAGATTCCCTAGTGGATCGGGTCAATTGCCATGGAATAGTAGTTAAGATGTAACTAGATGGGAGGAATTGCTTGGTGGTACTGGAAGGGAGGCTGCTCGGGTCTCGCGTTTTATAGTTTTGCTGGGTGGGTCTTGCTGGTGGTGCAACGAGTCTCGTAGGAACAAGTATTTGCGTACTGCTTGAACTAAGCAAAGTGCCGGTCGTCGTCGAAATTTTTAGCCGAGAGTTTTTTTTTTTTTTTTTTTTTGTATTTTTTTAGCCGCGAGCTAGCCTTTGCCCATATGTCCCGCCTCTGCAACAAGTACTCAAGAATTCGACGACAATCAGAAGTCGAGTAGTTAGCTCAGAAAAATGCTGTCGGTTTGTCCGAGTGGTTAAGGAGTTGGTCTTGAATCACGTGACTTCTGTCACATGTTAGATAACCAATGGGATTTCCCGCATAGGTTCGAACCCTATAGCCGACGTATTTAAGTTCCGCTGCTGTGTCTACTTTTTACTAAGCTCAAGTGCGGAATTCCGATAGGAAAAACGATGGTGGTAGTAGCTAATCTTTGATGTATCACGAATGCATTACGGATTACTATGTGCTTTTTTACGCAACCTTTAAGCGTGTACTGTGATCTTAAAAAAGAGATGAAAAGCAAGGCGGAGGAAAAGTGATACGCGTCCTAGGAAAAAAAAATATATAACGTGTTTATTGGAAAAGAAATGGTAGAGGAAAACGGGACTGTGGTGATTGTAGTATTTACTACCTTTCTGCGATCTATTGTTTCATGTTCAGTTCCAAATCGGGTGTGGACTGCTGTGGTGCTGTAGGTGCTATATAAGCGGGGCACATCCCTTCATCCAAAATAGTGGTTACTTCTTAACTCACTTCATACCTTTTATTTACTCTAATAGTATCTACGAGACTGGTGAATTCAAAGCACTGTTTGTGCTACTAGCTTTTAGCAACACATTACCCTAAGTAACCACAAATACCATTAAGTTTTTCTTCTTTAGATAGCATTCTTTGCAGTGTGGATGGCACTGAGGACATGGTCAAGAAGAACTGCTAGACAATTCTTATTTCGCTTTTACTTTATATATTATTCTATTAAATCAATTAATAACTATGTTGTGGCGTAACATTATATCAGTTTACTGCTTGCTTATATAGTGCTTGCAGCACCACCCAAGCAAGCACACAATGATCATGCTACTCAATGATAATAAAAATAAAGTATAATGCTACATATAATAAAAGTCGTTGTTCTGAAGATGTGAGTTTCTCATTTAGAATGTTTGCCTAATGTTTTTTATTGTGGAATCAAATGATAAACTACTGAGAACACTCTCTCAAAGGCAGAGTATGCTACAGCTATTCTAGTCCACTGCAACTATGGATTTGATGATGCTACCCTGCAAATGGCTCTCAGCATGTACAAGAGGACTGTTGTGGTGATACCTTCACACAGTCTGTTGCTTGTGTGTGTCCATGACCCACAGAAGGGGGATGGTGAGAAACGTGTATATTTCAACATGCTACACAATCTGCTTCTTCACTACAAAATGAAGGTGTGGATGCTTTTTGTTGGTGGTGACTTCAATGTCACCCCAAATACCTATGATCGAGCCAGCTTTGTAAGTTAAGAGCCAGGCTGTGAGCAAATTTAGCTGCTTTGCATGTCGCTTGACCTAGTGGATGCTGCGGATTTCTTGTACCTGCATAACATCTATAGTGGTCAGCCACACATGTCCCAGTTCACCTATCATCACCTGGCATTGAAATATCCAGCTAATTCGCAGCTGTACAAGTCTCATCTTGACCTTTTTTTGGTTCCAGTACATCTAACCCACTTGCCTGGATTTTCTTATTCACACAGGCCATATGGAGTTACTGGAAAATCGAAATTCGACCATGACAAGCTTTATCTGCACATTCCACTACAGTCTGCACCCACTGCCATGGCAATTTCAACAGTCTTCACACTTGACCTGCGCCAAATTGACAGTCCAGTTGCAACTCAGTATGTCTCATTGGCCTTTGGATCTGTGGACTTTACTACTTGTAGCGACATTGGCAACCCATTCAAGGCATATGTGAGTATTCTTTTGAGCATTTGTGCATGCAACAAGGCACATAGGCAGGATTTGGATGACCACAACTATGACGAGATTGTGCAGGAGCTGCACGAGCTCTATACTCAGTTTTCCAGTCTAGTGCCACTGGGTGGAGCCACTACCAGCCAGTCCAAAGCTGAGAAGCACAGGTTTGAGTGCTGCAGCATTGAACGCAAAGCACTACGCCTGATTGCATTAATCCCCAGGCCAGCAAGCATCAGCTTGCTGCTGGTGAGTGGATTGATCATGGTGCTCAGCAGTCCGAGTGGATTTCTGTGACTACATCAAGCAGCTTTTGCCCGACTCGTTTCAGCATCTACTCTCTTCACCATCATGACAGCTCCAATCGGCTGGAGATGGACATTTCTGTTTTGCCAGATGTTGTCCACGCCTACTTTGTCAGCTTGCTTGCAGTTCCAGCACCTGATAGTCAATCGGCAGAGCATGCTGCTCTTTTTGGTTCCTTTTTGCCAGCAGCTGTGGCTGAAATGCTGGTGTATTTAGGCAGGCTGATTGAGCAAAACGAAGTTGACTATGAGTGTGAGCATGCTGCTACTGGTCAGCTCTCTGTTCCTAATGGAATCGTCACCGAGTTTTATCAGCACCATGCTGTTGCGCGCCAGGGCTTATGCAGTCTTGCAAACATTGTACTGCAGCACCCTGACCTCATTACGCCCGAGTTTACAGCTGGCTGCCTCGTTTTGCACTTCATATCTGGCGACAGAGCAGACTTAGCCAATTACCAGCTGGTGCTGCAGCAGAATATCGAGTTTGAAATTATTGCTGGCATTTTGGCATCACACATTGGCCATGCCATCTCATCATTTATTTCTCCAGAGCAGATGGCACACATTCTGGGCTGGCATAGATGAGACTCTATCAACATGTTGACGTCTGTGCAGTTGTATCTGGTGCTCATGGAGCAGAAGGCACTGTTTTTGTTCCTTGGCAAGGGCAAGTTGCCCAATGGCATTTCCAAGCAGATGATGGCGACATTGCTTTGAAAGTTTGTGGTGCCAGTGCCATTGATCCACACAATATGACGGATGTTCCAGCTGACAGATTGCTGTGCAGTGGTAAATGGCATTAAATCTGTGCCATTTCCCTTGCTGAGTGGGAGTTACCTTCAAGATGCACTGTACAACTTGATATTTGTCATGGTGATGGAGCTGCTTCCTTGTGCACTACGTGGGCATATTGGTGACGATTCAGCATTTGTCAATTTGCCAATGGGCATAATGACACATTCCTGCCACTTGGGCAATGCTGTTATCACTCTTTCAGACAATCAGTGGCTGCCAGACGTCCTGGCAGCAATCACTCAGTTCAGCACTGCAACTGGCATTTGTTTCAATATAGCCAGCACTCAAGGGCTCTTTATTGGGCATTGCTTTGCAGAGGACATGCCATATGCACCTATGCCAGAGTTCCCTCTTAAGCCAGTTCCAGATGGTCAGTCGATTCTGTTTGCTGGTGCACATATTGGCAACGAGTTGGACTATGACGAGCTCGCTGATATTCAAATCACAACAGTGGTGGTGGGTTCCATGGATATATGCTGCCACCTCCCAAGTCCTCATGAGCGCAGAGAGGCCATCTGTCGATATGTGGCTCCACGGCTGCAAAACTTGCTCGAGTTCATTCCAGTTGTCAAATGGTTGATGGGAGATGTGCTGGCACCATTGTTGACTACTATCCGTGGTAACCCATGTCAGTTGTCAGTTGAGGATGAGCTGGCACTTGCAGCACATACTGGCGACTATGCGTTTCTGGACTTTGATGCAGTGTACATGACAGTACAGCTTGCTGAAATACGGATGGCTGCAACATATTTTGACCAGATAGCATTCCAGACTCCTGGCATTGTCATGCCTTACTGGGTCCATATGCTACTCTACATTTGGTGCAAGATGATTCGAGAACACACTGCTGACATCTTGCCAGCATTTTTCAGCAACACAAGCCCTGACCAGCTGGCCTGCTATTTCTTCAACCTGCTCTTACAGACCATACATAAAAAGCAGGCTCATATTATAAAAGGGACTTGGCCACAGGTGTGGGGGTTTAGGTTCATGTCAATGTACTCCAACAAATCGCTGAAAGGTCACCAAATATTCTGTGAGTGGATGTCTTGTCAAGTGCCATCTTTGAACTTACCACTCTTTGGATGTGAACACTGGGGTGCAGGCATGTATGATTGGAAAATCCTCTGAATGGCCATTGGCAGTGACCATCCTCTCAAGCCTGTCACAATTGGCTTGCTTACCTGGCTCATCAAAAAGCTGGAGGACTTGGGCAAAAAGGCTAAATGGGCGACTATGACAGCAGAGTGGCTGACACCAAACCAATCGCTATTATGAGTAAAGCTGATCAAAGACTTTAAAAAAATCCTCAGCGAGGCTCAATGCTGTGATGCCACTCTACCTCTACATCTTCAAGCCACTCCATCTATGCACCATCTCATCTATGGCTACCCGGAAGTGACAGATAAGCCATCTAAGCCATTCCAAAACTGGCACAGCTTGACATCTGCCTGGACTGAGCCAGGGAGTTCTAGTAGCATTGGCACTAGTGCTACTCATTATCCAAATCCCAGGCAACCACCACTGATACTTGCTCATCTGCTGACACACGAAGCTGCTTTGGCAAGTACAACATCTGCAATGCCACCTTGGCTGGCCTCACCTTGCATGGCTGCTGTATGTGTACTCACTGACACAAATATAGCTGTCTGCCCAGCAATTGCAGCACCTGTTGCTCCGCCTACTCTCCAGCAGCCAGCTCCAAGGCAAAGAGTACAGACTGCACCAGTAGCATGGCAGACCATGATCAGACACTCTATGCAGCAGCTTGGACGCACTATTGATATCAAGCCAGTACATCATCCAAAAAGGAGATGGTGGCCAGTGCAGCTCATGCCAAACCAAACCAAGCTTGTGTTCAAGTAATATGCAGCAGCATCACTAAGAGCACAGTATCTAATTCAATTCCATTATTTTCAAGTTTAATATTCAATATTTATTTTCATCATTCAAATACCCAGCTTTCACTTATCAATAAAGCCAGCAATGAATGTCAACACGTGCAGGCCATGGCAAGGTCAGTTGGTTGGTGGCAGTATCCAACAACTCAGCAATATAAAGATAGGGATCGAATAGAGAGAAGCAAAGAGGAAATGGCAGCATTATCCAGAATATGCCGGCTTTGGTTGCCAAGACTTTTCCAAGCACAGGCAACTATATATGTTAGTGATAGACTAAAGAAATAAAAATAATAAAAATAATAATATAATTGCTAGAAAAGCTAGAGCCCAAAGGCAGCCGTCCATCAAAAAGGCAGACATTTATAATGTTGTTGTTTT